ATGTATAAATATAATAGAAGTGTGTTTGTCTGCAGATGGTAAGAAACGTTTGTTATAATGTATGAGTAAAAATGATTTAACTAAAAACAAACGCCGAACATAAAGATTCTTTCTCTATTAACATTTTTTGTTCTGATTTATTTTTTCTAAATTTTCGATGGTATTGTAGATATGTATTTTAATTCCTCAAATATTTTTGATTATGTCATTTTATTTAAACGACGAACTACAGAAACCCTTTTGTTAAGTTTTGCTTATTTTCTCCACCTTTATGCAAATTAACTTAGTTCGTCAAATATCTGTTTTCATCTTGTATTTATGATAAAACATTTAAAATAGCAAATGAAAAGGACTGAATAAAAAAAATAGAGTGAAAAATGTGTTTTCAACATGTCTATTGTTAAAATGAAATGGTCGAATTGGTTTTTGTCTGTTTGTACTGTCAATCATTCTTTTTTTTCTTTCTCGAGATCAACATGACCTCTTCTCTTTTTTGAATAAAAATCCTTTATATCAAAGGTTTTTTTCTTTTGGTGTGCATCATGGGATGATTGTTTTTTAATATAAAAATCTAAAATAGACCTGACCGTATAATTCACTTCAAAGACGTATCTTTTCAACAGAATATCCAACAAAATGACGATGTTTGTAATCATAGTAACAGTCGTAAGTTTGATTTTTAGTGCTACTGCTGCTATTGATAATGATACAATTCAAGTTCCACTTTCAACAACATGTCGCGGTGGGCTAGGACAAATTTATTATTTTAAATACCAATCAGAAGATTTTATTTATAGTCAAAGTGATAATTTTCAAATAATACCTAAACTTGAAATAAAATTTTATCTAGTGCAGCCAACATTATTTAAAATAACATTTCAAGGTCGACTTTATCATAATTATGGCATAACATATACATTTATTCAAGTTGTAGTTAATGGTAATTTAATTATCGGAAACAAAGTTATTCCAAATACAGTAAATCGTGGTCATTTAGTACCAACATTGACATACCAGCAACGAGAATCAAACGCTGATATTGATCGACATGGTGGTCATTACTATTTTGAAAGTGCTACAGCACAACAAGTTTATGTACAAACTGGATGTACAAGGATAGCATTGGTTTATCTTGCGCCTGGTACACTTACATTTAATGTTGGAATAAGATCATCTATTCGTCCAGGTACAATTGGTTATAGTGTGCTTATGTTTGAGGCAACTCAGATTGATCCAAACGCAAATATCAATATGCCATTAATAACTTTCACAAGTACCAGTCTTTGAATCTACCTCTATAGACAGACAATGCCATGGATTTAAAATAAACACTTAATTTTCATTTAAAAGTCAACAATTTGAATTTCTTTAATAATAAAACATTTAGCTGCCGATCAACCGAGAGAAACTTTAGCAGAGTATAGGTAGATTTTCCAATATACCTTGAAAATGTCTGCCTTCGTAAATCTGCAATCTAAATGCCTATCTTAACACATAGCTTGTCGAGAGATTAAAGCAGTTATGTGGTTAATTAGGTTAACTTTTTGTATAAAAGTTAAAAAAGTAAGTAAAAGTGAACAAAAGGATTCCTGGAGAGCCGCTGCATATCATTTCATTACTTACGCTTATTGAACTGGCAGCAGTCTATCACCTAAACCACATTTACACACAAAATGAGCTTGTTAACAGATTGAAATTTTCTGCTAATTGCGTATATAGAGTAGCTAATACAACCCTCTTAGAACCCAACCTCAAAAGCGGATTAAAGTAGCCCTTAACTAGTAGCTTTCAAAGCAATTTGAATTTGAATTCAAATTTGAACTAGTTGATTAATTATTTTGCAAATTTTTGCCAGTTTGTCGAAAAAATTCAAAGATTGATGTAGCTCGGTGGTATCAATTCGACCATTTCATTTTTACTGAACTACCTCTATCGCATGACACAGTGGGCATTTTTCTGATAGTAGGTGGATATCAGAATTCTTTGCTTGTATATCGTTTTCGCATGAATGATTATCCTTCTTCAGTCGTCTCCGACGCTTTTAAACAAAAACTAAAGTTTCGTATTATTTGGTCCGGCGCGGTAAAAGTTCATAATTTTCTAATGTTTACATGTTGACCATGTCAATTTTACCTTAAAACCGGTTTGCTGGCCTCGAGGAAGCTTTTTTACCAAAATACTCGTTATCTTCTCCGCTTTCCACTGGTATAGTTTTCATAGCTTTAAACTTCCTTGACGGGTCAAAAAGTCAATTACATTAGTAGTTGCAGCTCTTCGATACCCGAAGAGAAGACACTCGAGCACTGATGTGGACCTCCACCCAAGAATACCCAATATTTCAAACTTTTGTTTTCGATGAATATACTTGGACAAATGGGCAAGATTTTGGGGAAAACCATTTGCTGAAAGACCACTCCTCTGCTGAGTTATGATTAATACGAAAAACAATTTTGATCGTACGGAAAGTTTTTGCAGCAGTAGTATACAAAAAATTAACTTAATTAGCCAAATAACTGCTTTAATGTCTCTACAAGCTATGTGTTAAAGTAGGCATTTAGATTGCAGATCTAACTTACTTTTTAATTGATTAAAACAGATACATTGTAAAATATGGATTTGTATCTCTTTTGAGAAGCTACGAAAAATAATAACTAAACTTCGTTTACGTCAATGTGTCTAATGTTAATATTAAGTACGCGAAACGAAAAAGGATGTGTGATGAGTGATGATGGGGCACTATTTAACAATGCTTTTTCCTATTCGAATTGCTCATTCAATTTTATTCAATCCTCTGATGATTTTAGCCAATTATTCTTAGATATCTAAACAATTTTACAAAACATCAAAGTATTGTTAATCAAAAGTTAGACAAAAATAAATTAAAAGGTGTTTTCAAACAAAAAATTAAACAGTCTATATAACAGGAAGCCTTTTTCTCAAGCTAAATCGGTGAATATCGGGCGATTGAAAAATGTAATCGAATCGGTCACGGGTTAATTGTCCAGTCATTGATTTACCGATTCGGTTGCAACTCCGCTATATAAATCTTTCTTATAAAGTGAATTTTTATATTTACTAAAATCTGTCATGTGAGTCTCTCTGTTTAACACGATATTTTTCGAACAGATCATTCCGATAAAAAAAGGACCTTCTGCCAGCAGGGTCTGCGAGATAGCCTGATGTTTCACTCCGGCAGGCAAAAATGTTACGGGCAGGTATGAAGGGAACATTGTGGCAGTTGGATGATCTGAGCAGTGCTCTGTCTCATACACTGTGGCATTTAGGGGTAGGCGTTGGCAAGCAGTCTGTTTTTTATATGGAAATGCTTGACCTTAACGTTTAATGTCTTAGAAAATGGAAGAAGAAGTTCGGGCTTAATTTGACTGACGAGGGAACCTCTTTAGGTTATAAATCGCTTTTGAACTCGGACTACTTGTATCTTGTAGACCTCAGTGAGTAGTAAATACTCTAAGTTGGTTCATCCCCATGGTGCTTTGTTGCTGAGATATTGAATTTTTGGTCAGTTTTTGCCTATAAAGCTTGGATTTCGAGCAAAATCCGACTTTCAAATTTTGACTTGAAACTTGCCACACTGGTAGCTCATGGTCATAATAGCACGATGGGAAAAAATTCGATCCTA